TCAGAGGGGTAGCCGAGTTAGTCTGTAACAAGAAAAACAAATAGTCTTGTAGCATTTTAAAGACTAACCAAACATGTAGATGATATCATGAGCTTTCGTGGGCACAACTCACTTATTCAAATGACAGGCAAAGAAGTGGGTTATGCCCATGAAAGCTCATGATACCATCTACAAGTTTTGTTAGTCTTTAAAGTGATACTAGACTATTTGTTGTTTTTAAAGTTTTTCCCTTTAGGTAAAGAGTCACCCACAACTGAGAGATGTTACTACATCAGGAAAGGGAAACAGATTACACTGGGCACTCTCACAAACTGTTTATGCAGCTTAACATTTTCTGCCAAAAAAGTATCACTGCACTTTTATTAATGCAAATTAAAAAAAAAAAACGAAACCCAAATCCCATTCTTTAAATGGGATACATAGCCCATCTCCCCATATGGTCTTTTAAGAGGTCAGCCAACTAATCTGCTTTTGGATTCCAAAGTCCTCTCTGTTGCCTTTGAGTCCTCATTTTCATGCCTTGTTTCAACTGACCCTATTTACAGCCCCCTTTTATTCCATGTTCCTGACCTCTACGTGCAAGTAGGGGGAAGCACATTTGGGAGCCTGTGTCGGTAGCCATGAAGGATGCTCTCTTTCAATCATATGTTGAATACAAGAGGAAGTAGGAACACCCAACCGTTTGAGAGACAAGACATGTCTCACCCTGGAGTGCACTTTCTCCCTGTCACACCCCTATAAATGATTGAATCCTGATGACTAAGTTTTTCTACTTGAGTTTTAACATGCATTACTTGAGAGGTTCTGTTCTCATTGTCCCGTATCCGCTCCTTCACCAGACGCACAAGGGATGCAATATTGTAAAACTCAGCTTCTTCCAGTACCCCTAAAAATATGCCAAAGCAGAGGAAGGAATTCTGTTAGTCAACAGAAAACAGAATAAGGTCAATTTTATCAAAAGGGTGCAGTGCATGATATCAGTTTGTATTTAACCTTATATTTGCAATCTAGCCTGTCTGCGGTGCAATAAATAGATGCAGAATGGATGGTGCTATTGATCTCAGTCTGGAAGAAAATGCTCTATTCATCTGGTAATAGCCTCCTTTATGTGAAAGCACATGATATCTAACTCCTCCTTCTCTAGGATTATAGAAAGCCCCAAGGCTTTAATAGGGAAATACTGCTCTTTTATTGGAGGCTTTTGGCAAAATATATTTAGCCATCTCAGATCAATCTGTTTCATCTCAGCATATTACAAAAAAGCCATTAATGGCTTTGGATATACAGGAGTGCAATCTGAAGAGTGAACAAGAGAGATCATTCTTAGAGAATGTCTCCTCTTTTTCTCAAAAAGTACAATTTGCTGTTCAAAGTCAATGAGTTAAGCATAGCAAGGTTATGATCTAGTATTCTTGGCTTCCAATATATATTGTTTTCATATTATTCATGAGCATCTTTGCGGGAACTAAAAGAAAACATAGTATTATTGTGAAATGGAGCTTATGCACAAGGCACCATGTTCATGCATTAGTAAGCTTCCATACCCAAACTTGTCAATCATTGTCTAGGGTTAGTCAAACAATACCAATAGGGCCTTGACAGTTCTTCACTCTGCAATACATTTTTTCTTACCTTCTTCTGCCAGCTCTTTGTTTAATATGAGTTTTCCATGTCGGAGGTAGTTCAGGATCGGACCAAAATAAGTGGGATCCCTGTCAATGAGATATGCCCCCGTCTCATCCTGTGAAACACACATGGGAGTCAAGTTAGATGCCCCCTACACAGGGACTCCTAAAATTATTAGCTCCTGTAAAGATGTATTGATGTTAATGATGAGAAAACATTCCAAAATTTCTGTTATGTAGACAGGTGCAGGTTTATATTTGCCCTGTTGAGTAGATAAGGTCTGGATGTACAGTATGGCAAGCAAGCCTGTCTACACTACTTTTCTTTCTACAACTTCTGATCCAACATGAGTATCTGTTAAAAGGATGGTTAAAGTAAACCAGAGAAGTTGGTGCGTGAGAGGAATAGCATGAAATAGATCATCCTGATCACAGGAACTGGGTTTTCATTCATGCAAAAAGAAGAGGCAACTCCAATTTTTAAAAATAACCTATTTATATGTAAATGCCAATCTCAAAACCTTATGTTAATTCCTGAACTCCTTTTCGTTTACCTGAAAATTACACCGAGGCCAAAAGACTCCTTGGGAATCAGGCAATCTAAAATGGCTCTTGTTCCATAAAATGCGTCTTTAAAATAAAACTTCCTTGCCCAGAGGCCAAATCTCAGCTTATCATTCAAAATAGATTGTATATTTTACTTCAATTCTTCCATCTAAATTATGTTTCCATAGACAGTCCTTGTTAATCTTTACTTCAAATCTCTATAGATTATGCTGGATTCAGCATCTGTTTGTACCAATTCATTTTAGAGTGACTATTGGCACTAATATCTGCTCCTAAAGCACCAAATACCGTAGTAGGGAAATGCGCGGGGGATTTAAATATCCCCCGCGGCATTTAAATAAAAATGTCCGCCGCTTTTTTCCGGCTTTTAAAAAAGCCGGAAAAGAGCGTCTACACTGGCCCCGATCCTCCGGAAAAAGTGCCCTTTTCCTTTGAAGTACTTTGAAGTAGGAATAAGAGCCTCCGGAAAAGGGCGCTTTTTCCGGAGGATCGGGGCCAGTCTAGACGCTCTTTTCCGGCTTTTTTAAAAGCCGGAAAAAAGCGGCGGACATTTTTATTTAAATGCCGCGGGGGATATTTAAATCCCCCGCGGATTTCCCTACGACGACTGGTGAAATTTACATGCCCCTTCCGGAAAAGGGGCCAGTGTAGACGAGCCCATAAAGTTTAGAAATAAACAGTACTTTATGGACAAATAAGACAACCCTTGACCTGAACGTATAACAGCATTAGGACATAATCATGCAAACTCCAGCTTACTGAATTCAATGGGGACTACTCTTAAGTGTTTAATGCAGTGAGCCCAATATTTAGACTTAATGTCATAATAGAAAGTAATAAGCAATTAGCAGAACTGGGGGGAGGGTTACAACAAGGTAATGTATGTATGTCTTGGTGATTCCAATGTGTATTGACATAAAAATATTTTTGATTGTTTAACTGGATTCATGCAAGCATACACCGAACCAGGGTACCTTAAGGGACAATTACTTTTTCCTATGAGTGAAAGTAAATAAAAATTTTGGTCACATTAGCACTCATTCAGCACTGTGACAACAGGGTCAAATGTTACTGCTCCCACAAAAACTGCAGTCTTTTAATATCAGTCTGCTTTTTGTTTCTGTGACTTGTTCAATCAGAAAACATGAGAGAGCTTTCTTTCTTTCTTTCTTTCTTTCTTTCTTTCTTTCTTTCTTTCTTTCTTTCTTTCTTTCTTTCTTTCTGATTGAAAATGATTAATGGTTTTCATCTCCTCTGGACAATATGTTGATTTCTAAACTATGCGTCAGATGCTCACAAACGCTTCATTATTTTTCCACTTTTTAAAATCAATATTGCAATAACAAGTTAGTTCTCTATATTGGGACCTTCACAGAAGATTGGCAGGGTGCTGTATATCATTATAAAATTAACAAAACATAATAGGCGAAAGAAAACACATTTCTTGAACCAAGTTTAATGTGTTGACACATAACAGTGCAGACTTTTTGAAATACACTTTGATGCAGTGAGAATTCATTATCATTAGAAGTAGGTCGCAGTTCTATTTTTAAACACCACAGAAAGGTTTTGTTCATTGAACAAATTAAGTGGTACTGAGATTGGGGCAGTCTGCTCTATAGCACAAATATGATTTTTTTCTGAAGCCCCTTCTTACTCTGTACTGAGATACTAAGGTAATGGCAGGCAGAAATTTAAACTCCTGATTAATTGTAATTGGAAGGAGGGATTATTTAATTCTGTATCTAATCTCTCTGTAAAGTACTTTTGTGAAATTTATATAAAGAATATCATAGAAAATAAAAGTTGTGGTTACCAACATAGTGATTTATTTGTGAAATTCCCAGTGTGGGTAGGAGATAGAAATCTGAGTTCTCAAAGCTGCAGACCAAAGTAAATAGCATATTAATATACTTACTAAGTAATAAAGCAAGCCAGAGAAGAATATAAAGAAAAATAGAAATGACAAATATATTCCCAGGCTGAGAAAAATTACTAAATATTTATATCTAGAGAACAGAGAAGTGTTTTATAATTGATGAGCACTTCCCCATACTCATTAGTTCTCATAAATAAGTCATTGTTCAGGTGCAGCCTAAAGGATTTGGGGGCATGTGATACACTTATTTATGCTGAATACATATGGGTGTGGGAAACAAAGCTGGTAGTTAGTGTTATGATGTAGTACAGTATAGCTGTAGTGGAAGAGTAACAGAAGATCTAGATGAGAGGGGTATGGTTAGTGTTTATGCTGGGTGAACAAATGCCCACAGCTTCAATCCCCTCAAGTTGTCTGATCAAAGCTGGGTCCCCTCCCTCCAACAGAAGCAGCACAGATTGGGGGGAGGGACAGAGGAGCCTGCTGTGAGTGTTAGGGATGTTAAGAAGCAGGTATTTAACTAATCGTGTAGTCAATATAATTATTAACTACACAATTAGTCGATAGGGGAAGGTGCTCAGTCCTGGCTCGTGCCAGGTCCGGGAGCTACACCTGCTGTGGTTCTGCATTTTAAATGTAGTAGAATCATAGAGCTGGAAGAGAGCTCAGGAGGTCATCAAGGCCAGCCCCCTGCCCAAGGCAGGACCAATCCCAACTAAATCAACCCAGCCAGGACTTTGTCAAGCTGAGACTTAAACACCTCTAAGGATGGAGATTCCACCACCTCACTAGGTAACCCATTCCAGTGCTTCACCACCCTCCTAGTGAAATAGTTTTTCCTAATATCCAACCTAAACCTCCCCCACTGTAACTTGAGACCATTGCTCCTTGTTCTGCCATCTCCATCCTCTTTGGAACCTCCCTTCAGGGAGGTGAGTCAGCGACCAGGGAACTTGCGAACAGTGTGAACAGAGGCTGCTGCCAGAGTAGCTTCCCTTGCCCCCCACGCTGCTGCCTCTGATATAGGCAGCGAGGGGAGGGAGGGCAGGCGGCACCTAGGCTTATGGAGTAGTCAACTACTTGCTTACACCCTAGTGAGTGTAGTGATAAAGGGACATGTCACCCTCCGCCCTTCCCCCCCACCCATGTGGAGGGTGAACATAGCTAGGGCTCATGGATTAAGTATGAAACAAAAAAACAGGACTAAGTAGCACTTTAAAGACTAACAAAAGTGGCTTTGTATATGTGCGGACACTGCAATCCTGCTATATCTTGGCAAAGGGGAAGGCACTGATTGTTCTGTATCTCTACTGGAGGCATATTAACCAGTTAAGCACTGACATAAATTGCCCAGGGATGTTGTGAAATCTCCACCATTGGAGATTTTTAAAAGCTGGTTAAACAAATGCCTGTCAAGGGTAGTATAGATCGGGGTGGGCAAACTATGGTCCATGGGCCTGATCCAGCCTGTAGCCTATCCCAGCAGCACAGAGCATCTCCAGGGTGCTCAAAGCTGCTGGCTCCTCCCTGTGATTCTGTGCTGGGGGGTGGGGCGAGGCAATGCAGCACAATCTCTCAGTTCCCATTAGCTGATTTCCAGCCAATAGGAGCTGAGAGACTGTGCTGGGAGCTAGGGCAGTCCATGAAGCCTACCTCCCCGTCCCCTCCTCCTTTTCCTCCCCCTGCAGTGCAGAGAGCCACATGGAACAGCCAACTACTTTGAGCAAGTTTGGGGCTGCTGGCAGGCAGGTAAGCCTGTGAGTGCTGCTGGCCAGGAGCTGCTTAGGCATGCGCCTCCTAGACAGAGCCCACCTCTGGCACCCTAACTTCCTCCCAGAGTCTGCACCACCTCCGACACCTCTCCCACAGATCAGAATCCTCTCCTATACCCATATTCCCTCCTGGAGTCTGCACCTCCCAGACCCCTACCACAGTCACAACCCTCTCAATCACCCAGATTTCCTTTTAGACCCCACAGTGTCTTCTACACCTAGTCCTCTATTCCAAGCTCTCTTCTGCACCCAATCTCCATCCCAGAAATTACAACCAATTCCATAGAAAAGTGCAGCCCTTGAGCACTTTCCAAAATCCTGGAGCGCCCCTCCCCCCACATTAAAATTATTGTCCACCCCTGCCGTGAGGGCAGGAGACTGGACTTGATGCCTCTTGAGATCCCTTCCAGTTCTAGTATTATATGATGGGGAGAGGGGCAGATGAAGCTTCCGTGAGACTGCAACTGGGGTTGCGGTCTCCGTAAGAGTTTGCAGAGCGTCAGGGAGCAAAACCTGGGGGTTTATATGGCGCCCGTTACCCGCACCGCGCAGCCCCTCACCTTGTCCGAGCCCAGCTCGGGCCCGTCCTGGCAGCAGAGACGGCACAGGAAGGACTTGGGCTCGCGACACAGGGTCTGTCGGGTGCTCACGAAGTATGTGCCGCCCACATTGAGCCGGATCCACTTGGAGCCAGAGCCAGGTCTGTCCGGGACGGGCGGCTCGGAGCTACGCGGGGACAGCCCCCCTCCGGAACTGGCTGGCCCGGGCAGGCGGGGGCTCGGCGGCCCGGGGGGAACCGGGATGCCCCCCTTCCCCCCCACCACTGGCCTGGGCGTACGCCCCCGCGGCGGCCCATCCCCCACCGCCATCAGCTCCGCCATCCTGGACCTCAACTGCGTGTGGCGTCCCAGGCGAGGGCAGCCACCCTCGCTCAGCGCTGGGGGGAGAGCTGGATCCTGCGCCCAGCAGCCATCGCCTCCCTCACACCGAACCCCCGCCTCCCAGGAAGGGCTGGAGTTGACTTCCGGGTCAACAGCGACCGCCGGGTCACACCAAATCCCTCCCGCGGCGCACACAAACCGACAGCTACTCTATGTCAAAGGGGGGATGCCGAGGTGCGCGTCGGGAAAGAAAAACCCGGGAATGTATTAGAATAGGCAATCCCTGAGGAAGCGCGGAATATTACTTCCGGAGTAACCGGAAGTCGGCGAGGTGGGCAAGCCGGTGGAAGACTTGGAATTTTGGAGGCTGTCAAGGGTAAACGTGAAGGGAGGGGTTTGAAAAGAGATATGACCGTTGAAAACAGAACCGTTAAGAATCACTTCCGGGGTGCCTAAGGGGGAGGGAAGGAGACTGCCTCAGAGTCCTTCCGGGGGTACAGGCCTATGATTGGTTGGCAGCGGACGGGATTTCCGGAAGGATCCGAGCTGCAGGGTGGCGACGGTCACTGAAGGTGAGACAACGTGAAGGGAGGGGTTTGAAAAGAGATATGACCGTTGAAAACAGAACCGTTAAGAATCACTTCCGGGGTGCCTAAGGGGGAGGGAAGGAGACTGCCTCAGAGTCCTTCCGGGGGTACAGGCCTATGATTGGTTGGCAGCGGACGGGATTTCCGGAAGGATCCGAGCTGCAGGGTGGCGACGGTCACTGAAGGTGAGACCAACCCGCGAGGTTCGGGGGGCGCGGGCGGTGCGGTGTGTTAGGGGTGGAGGGGAATGTGCCCGCCTGCCTGGGGGGGGCGCGTCCTCGTATCCGGCGCTGCAGCCGTGCCCCCTCCCCGAGCGATGCCCGGTCACGGGAGGGCTCGAGCCGGGGGGTTCTGAGGCGAAGGATGTTAAAACGCGGGTAATGCGGTAGCTGTGTAGCCGCTAACAACTCGTAGTGGTGCAGGCGCCGGGGGCTCTGCTTGATGCTGCCTGCTGAGCGTTTTACGGCAGAGCCCCAGAAAGCCTCCCGCTAGCCCCTCCCGACATGCACAGCGAACCCTCTTCCCTGGGAGCTGGCAGAGTTTAATCATAGAGTCATAGAACTGGAAGAGACCTCAGAAGGTCATCAAGTCCAGCCCCCCGCTCTAGGCAGGACCAATCCCAACTAAATCCACCCGGCCAGGGCTTTGTCAAGCCGAGACTTAAACACCTCTAGGGATGGAGACTCCACTACTTCCCTAGGTAACCCATTCCAGTGCTTCACCACTCTCCTAGTGAAATAGTTTTTCCTAATATCCAACCTGGATCTCTCCCACCACAACTTGAGACTCATTGCTCCTTGTTCTGCCATCTGTCACTACTGAGAACAGCCTTTCTCCAGCCTCTTTGGAACCTCCCTTCAGGAAGTTGAAGGCTGCTCTCAAATTCCCCCTCACTCTTCGCTTCTGCAGACTAAACAGACCCAACTCCCTCAGCCTCTCCTCATAAGTCATATGCTCCAGCCCCCTAATCATTTTCGTTGCCCTCCGCTGGACCCTCTCCAGTGCATCCACATCCTTTTTGTAGTGGGGGGCCCAGAACTGGACACACTACTCTAAGTGTGGCCTGACCAAAGCTGAATAAAGGCTATTAAAACTGTGGTGTTGGTTGTTGTCTTTTTAAATCAGTGTTGTGAGCTTCTCATCCATTGTAACCCCCAGGTCCTTTTCTGCAGAACTACTACTTAACCGGTTGGTCCCCAGCTTGTAACTATGCTTGGGATTCTTCCGTCCCAAGTGCAGGACTCTGCACTTGTCCTTGTTGAACCTCATCAGATTTCTTGTGGCCCAATCCTCCAATTTGTCTAAGTCATTCTGTACCCTATCTCTGCCCTTAAGCGTATCTACCTCTCCCCCTAGCTTAGTGTCATCTGCAAACTTGCTGAGGGGCCAATCCATCCCCTCAGACAGATCATTAATAAAGATATTGAACAAAACCGGTCCTAGAACCGAACCTTGGGGCACTCCGCTAGAAACCGACCGCCATCCTGACATCGAGCCATTGATCACTACCCGCTGGGCCCGGCCTTCTAGCCATCTTTCTATCCATCTTACCATCCATTTATCCAATCCACAATCCCTTAACTTGCTGGCAATATTGTGGGAGACAGTATCAAAAGCCTTGCTAAAGTCAAGGTATATCACATCCACTGACTTCCCCAGGTCCACCGAGCCAGTTTCCTCATCATAGAAGCTAATCAGATTGGTCAGGCACGACTTGCCCTTTGTGAATCCATGCTGACTATTCCTAATCACTTTCCTCTCATCCAAGTGCCTCAATATGGATTCCTTAAGGATCCCTTCCATGATTTTTCCAGGAACCGAGGTAAGACTGACCGGTCTATAGTTCCCTGGATCATCCTTCTTCTCTTTTTTGAAGATGGGCACTACATTTGCCTTTTTCCAGTCATCCGGGATTTCTCCCAATCTCCACGACTTTTCAAAGATAATAGCCAAAGGCTCCACAATGACATTTGTTTAACTGAGACCGTTAGCTTATCAGTAAAATGGTTAACTCCTTAAACTCTCACATCCGTGACTGAGTGATAGAAATGTAGCCGTGTTAGTTCGATGTAGCTGAAAGAAAGAACAGGACTATGTGGCACTTTAAAGACTAACAAGATGGTTTATTGGTGATGAGCTTTCATGGGCCAGACCCACTTCCTAGACATTAATTATCTTACCCATTACAAAGATAGCTTCCCCAATTATCACCTCTAATATCATTAGCTCACAGACCTCCCCACCCCTTATTTGAGACCCCTCCTTCTCCATTTCCCTCCTCTCCATTACTTGCTGTCCCTAGCCCTTACTCACTCTCATTGGTTGAGACAGGATGTGTGGGTTGTGGGGGTGGGAATGAGGGATTAGAATAAACCATCTTGTTAGTCTTTAAAGTGCTACGTAGTCCTGTTTTTTGTTTCATCCGTAACTGAGACCCTGCCAGGGGGTGAATCGAGGAGCATTTTCTCCCCTGTTCAGACCTCTATTGATGTCCTAGACTGGTACTAGAGGTGGTTTTGTGGTGCTGCCTTTTGGATGAGAGGTGGCTGGATGTGATGGTCTCTTGTGGCCTCTTCAGGTACGTCTAGATGGTCTTGCTGATTTGGGATGCCAGAAGTATCTTTAAAAGTGCCTACTATTAATCTACTACTATCATCTCTTTAAAAGTGCCTACTATTTCCTGAAATAGTGGGTGCACTATTCTGACAAATCCCTTAACCCTCATAGAACGAGCGTTACAGGGATACTGGAATAGTGCTTTATTTGGTGTGCCAAATTCATGAGCTTTCATGGTTTCATGAGCTTTTGTGGGCATAATCCACTTCTTCAGATGACCCTGAAGAAGTGCTTTGTGCTCACAAAAGCTCATGATATCATCTACATGTTTTGTTAATCTTCATGGTGTTACTAGATTATTTGTTGTTTAAGTTTTTCCTGTTACAGACTAACTCACCTACTCCTCTGAAGTTTTAGTTTAACCTGTAAGAAAGGAAATATTAATTTAAATTATTGAATAGATTAACTGATTTAACTTTCTCATTTTAATTTACCAAACTTCATTTTAAATAAAGTAAAATATTAATGTATGTTCAACACAAAAGGTTTCAGTGTTATCTTTATTTTTGGTTTGGGGGCCCCTTCCCCACAAAAAAATCAGTTGGGGCCAAACAAGGGAGAAGCAAAAAATCTCGTCCAGAAATCCCCAACTCTCACTGATATGCCCCCTCCATGGGGTGAGGAGGGAGGGACAGAGAGGACTGAGGTTCAGGACTTCCCATGGGCCAGATTTACTCTTCTGGAGTTCCAGGGTTAGAGTATTTTGTACAGATAAAAATGAGGGGTTCAGTGTGTGGAACAGGGCTGCCAGTGAGTGGGAAAGGGATCGGAGTGCAGGATATGGGTGGGAGGTGGAGTGCAGGAGGGGATGAGGGTGTGGGGTCTGGGTGGGAGGTAGGGTGCAGGATTAGGCTTGGAGTAGGGTGTCTGGCCAGAGGTGAGGGGGCAAGAGTAAAGGAAGATGTACTGTATGGCCAGGTGAGAGGGTGCAGGTGCAAGGACGGAGTAGGTGTCTGACCAAGGGGGAAGGTGCAGGAGCAGGCTGGGGATGCAGGATCTTGGTGGGGTTGTGCGTGATGATCTGGAGGTGTGGGGGGTATGTACTTGTTTTCATGCTACTCACAGCTCCCAGGCACGGCCTCCTACTGCTCCCATTGATTCTATACTAGCCAATGGGAGTAGTGGGGAAAGCCTCCAGGCAGAATGTTTGTGCAATGCTGTTCCCGCAGCTGGGGGTAGGGGAGCAGCAGCACACTGAGCCTCTTATAATTCCACTTCTTCCCCACGAGCCGGGTCTAGTGGGGAGTCTCAGGGCTCTCCCCCGCTCCCTCCCCAGCAGGAAGCTGCACTAGTGCCCCAGCCTTGTGGGGGATGGGGTGAGCGGCTGGAGCACCAGCTTGGGCTCCCTGCTGCGAGGAGAGGGAGGGAGAGAAGAAGGGGGGCTGAGCTCAAGCTGTGGACCACCTGGAAGGCAGCCATGGACCAGTATCCACAGACCACAGTTTGGGGGGCCACTGCCTTAAAAGATTGTAGCGACCAATGATGATGAAGTTCCCATAATGAGAGCAGGGTGATAGCTGGAGCCTGAAATTGTGGCTAAGTAACTCCACATTGGTGGTTATAATTCCAGTAACTGGGCAGAGAAGGCTTTAATTTGCCTTAAATGGTTTGATAGTATTGGGGTGTACTGTCATGCTCCATCCCAGGAAAGAATGCTTTTGAGGCCATTTGAAGTGAGCTGTCTCTCTCTAATCTTATGTAGCTATGAGAAATACAGGTTGAACCTTCCTGATATGAACCAGGGAATTTGCTGGACCAGAGAAGGTTCCCTGCCACAGGCTTCTGCTGCCAACTCTATCAGCTTTGGGTGGGGAATGGCACCACCTCCAGCCCTGGCTGGGCTGCCAGCTGGGTTGCTGGCTCTGCTGGGGCTGCCGCAGCCAGACTGCCTGCCAGGCTCCAGCAGCCCACGCTGCTGTGGGCTGACACAGGCTGTGACCCCACACTACCACAGACTGCCAGGTACAGGCTGCCGAGGGCTCATGCTCCAGTCCCAGCTCCACAGGTGCCTGCGGGTCTGGGGACACTTCCGTGGGTTTTTGGGGCTCCAGCCTCTGCTGATGGGGCTGCCGCTGGCTCCGCTCCTGCCGAGGGCTCAGGCTCCTGCGCCACAGTCTTTAAGCTCTGGTCCTGCTTCTAGGGGCTGCCCGGGGCTCTGGTCTTGGCCCTGTGCTGCCACAGGCTGTTGTCAGCCGGGTCCTGAGTTGCCAGGGGCTGCCCTGACCTGGTCCCAGTGCCGCAGGCTGCAGAGTATGAGCTGCTTCCAGCTCCAGCCCCGCCTCCCCTGGATTGCCCTCCTGCCAGTAGACTACTGGGGTTTTCTGATCCAGGAATATCCCTGGTCCAGTTGGATGAGAGAATTCTGGTTTTGGGAGTGCAACCTGTATTGTGATGCTCAGTTGTTTCTCGAATAGTGCTTCTCTTTTCTCAACAACATAAGGAATGAAAAGTATTATTAGCTTTACTGCTGGTGGGAGTCAATGGAATGAGCACAGCTGCTGCAGTTATGTTTCAGTTGATGAAATACTCAGACTTTTATATTGATGAATACAAACTTGCCTGTTCTCTTATTTCTCTTCAAATTTAAGTTTCTTTGCTGTTTTATTTCTCTAGAGCACAAAAATGGCAGGTCGCCGAGCTGCTGTGAAAGCGATTGACTGGATGGCATTTGCAGAGAGAGTGCCTCCCAATCAGAGAGCTATGTTTAATGCCCTGAAAACACGTAGTGATACCCTTTCAGCCAAGTGAGTATATTTCCGGGTGAAAAGGCTGCTCCGGCAGATGACAGTGACATTAGCAATTCTGCACTGTCAGTAGAGGTGTAAATTAGGGATGTGAATGGTTAACCAGAAAGCCTCAGCAGCTAAGGCTTGGTCTACAGTTAAAATTTATACCTACATAGCTATGTCAGTCAGAGGTGTAAAAAATATACACACACACTAGGGATAAGAGACAGGTGGGGGAGGAGGGAAGCAGGGGCCAGTGCTGAGGGGAGCTTGCTTAAAAGCTGGTTCCTCAGCACCATCTCTGCGGGGAGGCAGAGGCACAGCGAGGAAACGCTGGGACTGGCACAAGTGGGGACTGAAGGGCTATGTCTACACTCGCGGCTTCTTGCGTGAGAAATATGCAAATGAGGCTGCGTGGAATATTGCCGAGCCTCATTTGCATACCTAATAAGCCACCATTTTTGCAGAAGAGGCTCTTGCACCAGAAGGAGCTGTCTATACTGCCTCTTCTTGTGCAAGAAAAACCCTCTTGTGCAATGCCATTATGCCGATTATTTTCAGGAATAATGGCGTTGCACAAGAAAGTTTTTCTTGTGCAAGAAGGGGCAGTGTAGACAGCTCCTTCTGGCACAAAAGCCTCTTCTGCAAAAATGACGGCTCATTAGGTATGCAGATGAGGCTTGGCAATATTCCATGCTTAGCCTCGTTTGCATATTTCTTGCGCAAGAAGCCGCGAGTGTAGACATAGCCCTTCAGTCCCCACTTGTGCCAGTCCCAGCGGCTGTGCCTATGCGTTTGAAATGAACAAGAGTCACCCGCAGCTCTTGTACATTTCAAAAGCAGAGGCGCAGTGGGATAGTGAGTGCCCCCCTTATTGACTAATCGAGTAGTTAATGGAAATTCCGTTGTCTGTTAGATTCGTTGATTGATCGAAATTTAACATCCCTAACACACACACAACCCAATGATGCTTGGGTCTCTGCCAGTAAAGTTGTGCCAGTGCAGGTTCTGTAATGTAGATACAGCTAAAATACCGTTACTTATCTCTTCTTTTTAAAAAACAACAACAAAAAACCCAAAACCTTTGTTAGCCTTGTAAAACTAGGATGGTTGTTTTTCATTACATTGACAAACTCTCCTTGCCTGCTCCTACCATCATTCATAATGAAAAAACTGAGAGTGTTATATTTGTCCATCCAAAAAAAAGTTGTAGGCATGTAGAATTTTGTGTGGCTGTGTTATTGCCATTTCTGTGTTAGAGGTTGGTCTGAAACTACTGGCAACTAAAATGAGTATAATTCCTATCCTCGGGACTGTGGATGGGCTGGGCTATGGATACAGCAGAGTAGCTTGAGTTGGAACTGGGTGCTCTCTAAAATGACTGGGGATTGTTCTATCAGCTGTTCTGCTCCATCTGTACAGGCTGACCTCCTTGCCAGAGAAGCCTCCAGCTATTGATTGGGCTTATTACAAGACTGCAGTTGCTAAGGCTGGCATGGTGGATGAGTTTGAAAAGAAGGTGAGATTCTCATCCTCAATTAAGATGTTGCTGCTGTTTTGAAATCCAAGTGGAGGCTGCTCATATCAGATGTACAGGACACAGAACAATGAACTTTTTCTTTTGTAGGTTGCTTGGTGAGATTTTTAAGTAGCATTGGCCTAGATCTTTTGCTGTAGTGTGCAGTTGCTTTGTATCATACTGCTAGCACAAGGCATCCTGACAGCTGGCATAGCTAACCACAGGGTGCCAGGGTCATTTTATGCCACTGAAGGATCCCTCTCTACCAAAGTTTATACTTTTTCTCATACAGCCTGAATAGATTTTTCCAGTCTGTAGGAGTAGCCTTAGGAAAGAGTCAAAGCTTTCCTAGTCTCTGCTGATTCCCAGCTGATGTATCAGTCTTTTAAACCCACTAAGCACAAAGACTACTCCGATGTACGCTCTGATACATGCCTGCATTCAGCTGGTCCAGTACTAGGAGTAAAAAGGCCATCTTTGTCCATCTCCATCACATTCTGAGCTGTGCCATGGACCTGGCTCAGAAGCCTAGTGGAATAAAATTTTGCAAATACTATTGAGTGAGATGTGATGGCTTGATAAATAACTGTGCTCTGTGGGGGAAAGACTGTTCAAACATCCCTTCAGCCCACCTCACTGAAGGGCAGGAAGTTTAAAAAAAAAAAAATCACTGTCAATACCCCAAAGTAGTGTGATAAGACTAATTCCTTGAAGTGAATGTTAGCTTCTTTTTATGACTGGGCACTGGGAAAATAACCAGTACTTGCCCCAGCTCACATAAGGGATTGGTGTGAGAGATAGGGATGTGAAGAACTAGTTGACTAGCCGATAAGCGAATGCTTATCAGAAAGTCGACAGGCTAGTAGACTAGTTGCTTCCCCCCCACACTTGTTGCCTCTATCAGAAAGAGGAAACAAGAGGGGGAGGTGAGGAGAGGGCACTTCAAAGTGGCAGCGCCGCATGGAGTCTGGGGCCAGAACCTGGGATCTATGCGGCGCTGCTGCTTTGAGATGTAGCATGCAGCCTGAGGACACCCCAGCTGGCCCAGGGCTGCACATGGCATTTCAAAGCGGCAGCGCTGCACAGAGCCCAGGGTCAGCGGGGAATCCCCGTCTGACCCTGGGCTCCACACGGGGCTTTCGCCTTTGAAGTGTAGCAACAGCTGTAGGGCTCTTGCTACACTTCAAAGGCAGAGGTGCCCTATCGACTAATTGAATAGTTGATGCAAAATGCATTGACTATTCTGTTAGTCACAATTTAACATCCTTAGTTAGAGATAGAATTAGAACATAGCAGTTCTCCTCTCCTGGCTCTGTGCTCAGGCCACAAAGCTGACTTGCTGAAATGTAAAGGAATCCAGGGACTTGTTTTTTATTTGTATAATTTGATTTATTGGACAAGAGTAGGTCAACTCAACTGGATGCTAGCTTCTCAAATAGTGTTGTTTGGCTCCCATATGTGCATAACATACTCAGCGCTCTGCTGTCATTGGGATGCTCAGTCTTGTACAGAGCCACAATACAGTGCTGTATGGAAGTATTAGCAACAATCTAATGCCAAAGAGAATTATCTTGTCCAATAAATCAAATTATACAAATAAAAAACAAGTCCCTGGATTCCTTTACATTTCAGCAAGTCAGCTTTGTGGCCTGAGCACAGAGCCAGGAGAGGAGAACTGCTATGTTCTAATTCTATCTCTAACTAAGGATGTTAAATTGTGACTAACAGAATAGTCAATGCATTTTGCATCAACTATTCAATTAGTCGATAGGGCACCTCTGCCTTTGAAGTGTAGCAAGAGCCCTACAGCTGTTGCTACACTTCAAAGGCGAAAGCCCCGTGTGGAGCCCAGGGTCAGACGGGGATTCCCCGCTGACCCTGGGCTCTGTGCAGCGCTGCCGCTTTGAAATGCCATGTGCAGCCCTGGGCCAGCTGGGGTGTCCTCAGGCTGCATGCTACATCTCAAAGCAGCAGCGCCGCATAGATCCCAGGTTCTGGCCCCAGACTCCATGCGGCGCTGCCACTTTGAAGTGCCCTCTCCTCACCTCCCCCTCTTGTTTCCTCTTTCTGATAGAGGCAACAAGTGTGGGGGGGAAGCAACTAGTCTACTAGCCTGTCGACTTTCTGATAAGCATTCGCTTATCGGCTAGTCAACTAGTTCTTCACATCCCTATCTCTCACACCAATCCCTTATGTGAGCTGGGGCAAGTACTGGTTATTTTCCCAGTGCCCAGTCATAAAAAGAAGCTAACATTCACTTCAAGGAATTAGTCTTATCACACTACTTTGGGGTATTGACAGTGATTTTTTTTTTTTTAAACTTCCTGCCCTTCAGTGAGGTGGGCTGAAGGGATGTTTGAACAGTCTTTCCCCCACAGAGCACAGTTATTTATCAAGCCATCACATCTCACTCAATAGTATTTGCAAAATTTTATTCCACTAGGCTTCTGAGCCAGGTCCATGGCACAGCTCAGAATGTGATGGAGATGGACAAAGATGGCCTTTTTACTCCTAGTACTGGACCAGCTGAATGCAGGCATGTATCAGAGCGTACATCGGAGTAGTCTTTGTGCTTAGTGGGTTTAAAAGACTGATACATCAGCTGGGAATCAGCAGAGACTAGGAAAGCTTTGACTCTTTCCTAAGGCTACTCCTACAGACTGGAAAAATCTATTCAGGCTGTATGAGAAAAAGTATAAACTTTGGTAGAGAGGGATCCTTCAGTGGCATAAAATGACCCTGGCACCCTGTGGTTAGCTATGCCAGCTGTCAGGATGCCTTGTGCTAGCAGTATGATACAAAGCAACTGCACACTACAGCAAAAGATCTAGGCCAATGCTACTTAAAAATCTCACCAAGCAACCTACAAAAGAAAAAGTTCATTGTTCTGTGTCCTGTACATCTGATATGAGCAGCCTCCACTTGGATTTCAAAACAGCAGCAACATCTTAATTGAGGATGAGAATCTCACCTTCTTTTCAAACTCATCCACCATGCCAGCCTTAGCAACTGCAGTCTTGTAATAAGCCCAATCAATAGCTGGAGGCTTCTCTGGCAAGGAGGTCAGCCTGTACAGATGGAGCAGAACAGCTGATAGAACAATCCCCAGTCATTTTAGAGAGCACCCAGTTCCAACTCAAGCTACTCTGCTGTATCCATAGCCCAGCCCATCCACAGTCCCGAGGATAGGAATTATACTCATTTTAGTTGCCAGTAGTTTCAGACCAACCTCTAACACAGAAATGGCAATAACACAGCCACACAAAATTCTACATGCCTACAACTTTTTTTTGGATGGACAAATATAACACTCTCAGTTTTTTCATTATGAATGATGGTAGGAGCAGGCAAGGAGAGTTTGTCAATGTAATGAAAAACAACCATCCTAGTTTTACAAGGCTAACAAAGGTTTTGGGTTTTTTGTTGTTGTTTTTTAAAAAGAAGAGATAAGTAACGGTATTTTAGCTGTATCTACATTACAGAACCTGCACTGGCACAACTTTACTGGCAGAGACCCAAGCATCATTGGGTTGTGTGTGTGTTAGGGATGTTAAATTTCGATCAATCAACGAATCTAACAGACAACGGAATTTCCATTAACTACTCGATTAGTCAATAAGGGGGGCACTCACTATCCCACTGCGCCTCTGCTTTTGAAATGTACAAGAGCTGCGGGTGACTCTTGTTCATTTCAAACGCATAGGCACAGCCGCTGGGACTGGCACAAGTGGGGACTGAAGGGCTATGTCTACACTCGCGGCTTCTTGCGTGAGAAATATGCAAATGAGGCTGCGTGGAATATTGCCGAGCCTCATTTGCATACCTAATAAGCCACCATTTTTGCAGAAGAGGCTCTTGCACCAGAAGGAGCTGTCTATACTGCCTCTTCTTGTGCAAGAAAAACCCTCTTGTGCAATGCCATTATGCCGATTATTTTCAGGAATAATGGCGTTGCACAAGAAAGTTTTTCTTGTGCAAGAAGGGGCAGTGTAGACAGCTCCTTCTGGCACAAAAGCCTCTTCTGCAAAAATGACGGCTCATTAGGTATGCAGATGAGGCTTGGCAATATTCCATGCTTAGCCTCGTTTGCATATTTCTTGCGCAAGAAGCCGCGAGTGTAGACATAGCCCTTCAGTCCCCACTTGTGCCAGTCCCAGCGGCTGTGCCTATGCGTTTGAAATGAACAAGAGTCACCCGCAGCTCTTGTACATTTCAAAAGCAGAGGCGCAGTGGGATAGTGAGTGCCCCCCTTATTGACTAATCGAGTAGTTAATGGAAATTCCGTTGTCTGTTAGATTCGTTGATTGATCGAAATTTAACATCCCTAACACACACACAACCCAATGATGCTTGGGTCTCTGCCAGTAAAGTTGTGCCAGTGCAGGTTCTGTAATGTAGATACAGCTAAAATACCGTTACTTATCTCTTCTTTTTAAAAAACAACAACAAAAAACCCAAAACCTTTGTTAGCCTTGTAAAACTAGGATGGTTGTTTTTCATTACATTGACAAACTCTCCTTGCCTGCTCCTACCATCATTCATAATGAAAAAACTGAGAGTGTTATATTTGTCCATCCAAAAAAAAGTTGTAGGCATGTAGAATTTTGTGTGGCTGTGTTATTGCCATTTCTGTGTTAGAGGTTGGTCTGAAACTACTGGCAACTAAAATGAGTATAATTCCTATCCTCGGGACTGTGGATGGGCTGGGCTATGGATACAGCAGAGTAGCTTGAGTTGGAACTGGGTGCTCTCTAAAATGACTGGGGATTGTTCTATCAGCTGTTCTGCTCCATCTGTACAGGCTGACCTCCTTGCCAGAGAAGCCTCCAGCTATTGATTGGGCTTATTACAAGACTGCAGTTGCTAAGGCTGGCATGGTGGATGAGTTTGAAAAGAAGGTGAGATTCTCATCCTCAATTAAGATGTTGCTGCTGTTTTGAAATCCAAGTGGAGGCTGCTCATATCAGATGTACAGGACACAGAACAATGAACTTTTTCTTTTGTAGGTTGCTTGGTGAGATTTTTAAGTAGCATTGGCCTAGATCTTTTGCTGTAGTGTGCAGTTGCTTTGTATCATACTGCTAGCACAAGGCATCCTGACAGCTGGCATAGCTAACCACAGGGTGCCAGGGTCATTTTATGCCACTGAAGGATCCCTCTCTACCAAAGTTTATACTTTTTCTCATACAGCCTGAATAGATTTTTCCAGTCTGTAGGAGTAGCCTTAGGAAAGAGTCAAAGCTTTCCTAGTCTCTGCTGATTCCCAGCTGATGTATCAGTCTTTTAAACCCACTAAGCACAAAGACTACTCCGATGTACGCTCTGATACATGCCTGCATTCAGCTGGTCCAGTACTAGGAGTAAAAAGGCCATCTTTGTCCATCTCCATCACATTCTGAGCTGTGCCATGGACCTGGCTCAGAAGCCTAGTGGAATAAAATTTTGCAAATACTATTGAGTGAGATGTGATGGCTTGATAAATAACTGTGCTCTGTGGGGGAAAGACTGTTCAAACATCCCTTCAGCCCACCTCACTGAAGGGCAGGAAGTTTAAAAAAAAAAAAATCACTGTCAATACCCCAAAGTAGTGTGATAAGACTAATTCCTTGAAGTGAATGTTAGCTTCTTTTTATGACTGGGCACTGGGAAAATAACCAGTACTTGCCCCAGCTCACATAAGGGATTGGTGTGAGAGATAGGGATGTGAAGAACTAGTTGACTAGCCGATAAGCGAATGCTTATCAGAAAGTCGACAGGCTAGTAGACTAGTTGCTTCCCCCCCACACTTGTTGCCTCTATCAGAAAGAGGAAACAAGAGGGGGAGGTGAGGAGAGGGCACTTCAAAGTGGCAGCGCCGCATGGAGTCTGGGGCCAGAACCTGGGATCTATGCGGCGCTGCTGCTTTGAGATGTAGCATGCAGCCTGAGGACACCCCAGCTGGCCCAGGGCTGCACATGGCATTTCAAAGCGGCAGCGCTGCACAGAGCCCAGGGTCAGCGGGGAATCCCCGTCTGACCCTGGGCTCCACACGGGGCTTTCGCCTTTGAAGTGTAGCAACAGCTGTAGGGCTCTTGCTACACTTCAAAGGCAGAGGTGCCCTATCGACTAATTGAATAGTTGATGCAAAATGCATTGACTATTCTGTTAGTCACAATTTAACATCCTTAGTTAGAGATAGAATTAGAACATAGCAGTTCTCCTCTCCTGGCTCTGTGCTCAGGCCACAAAGCTGACTTGCTGAAATGTAAAGGAATCCAGGGACTTGTTTTTTATTTGTATAATTTGATTTATTGGACAAGATAATTCTCTTTGGCATTAGATTGTTGCTAATACTTCCATACAGCACTGTATTGTGGCTCTGTACAAGACTGAGCATCCCAATGACAGCAGAGCGCTGAGTATGTTATGCATATATGGGAGCCAAACAACACTATTTGAGAAGCTAGCATCCAGTTGAGTTGACCTACTACAGGAAGCCAGTTCACTTTGATGGGTCTGTGTGTTTTGGAAGAAACCGAAAAGCACCAGTCTGGCTACTGGGGAAATATTAGCTTTAGGAGCATGCAGAGCTTTAGCAGGATTGAGAAAAAACGTGTCTAGATTTTTTTGTTTTGTTTTGTTTTTTGTTTTTTTAATTCACAGTACAACGCACTAAAGGTTCCTGAGCCTGTGGACACACACACAGACAAGATAAATGCCCAGGAACAGGAAGCTGTAAGTATTTGAAAATTCTTCCCTGTCACTTGGTTTCAATTTGATCTTTGTAGAGATAAAGAGTAATTCTGGGATAAAGTTTTCTGTAGGTGTATTGTGCTGAAAAATAGGAGCTGCAGCTCTGGGTTTGTGGATATAGGCAGCTTTTGAACAAGAGTAGGTTCTCTCTACCTGTCTATGCCCCCTCTTGGGAACTTAGATTCTAGGTTTGGATTGCAGTTCTGCTTGCTCTTCTGGTGTAACAGACTTGAAATTAGTGTAAAACAAAGGCAACCATACTCTGATCAACCAAGGAACTTAGTATTTTGTCAGCAGCCCTAAGGGTGCACCTATGTAGCATAAAATAGGCCTGAATCCTTTTTAATGTGGAGTTGGAATTCTTGGAGACTGCATAGGTCAAGATAGAGCATTTAATGGTAGGACTTTTATTCTGTGGGCTCCTCCTTAGTGCAAAGAGGATGATGTTAAATATAACAAACTCCAGTGGTGCTACTCGAGTCATTGGTGTTATCTTTAGCCAGAGAACTTGTCTTCCTCGAACTCCTTGCGGCTTTCTCTATTAGAGGAAGAGGTAAGATGAGAATGTTTAAAGTGCAGTAGGATGAAAGTCACAGCTTCACTGCAGGAAACAATGTAGAATTAATGTGCTCACCAAATCCTTTGTTCTCTTGCAGGCTAAGGGTGCTGCTGAATATGTGCAGGCCTCTAAAGCCCGTATTGTCCAGTATATGAAAGAGGTAGGTTTGATGGACCTGTGAATTTCAGGCAACCATGTTTCAGTTTCTAAGGGTGTGTCTAGACTACAGAGTTTTGTCGACAAAAGTGGACTTTTGTCGACAAAACTATACCTGCATCTACACTACTGCTGAGTTCTGTCGACATAACATCGACGGAACTCAGCAGTTTTGTCGACGCTGGTAAACCTCATTTTACGAGAATTTCTGTCGACAGAAGGTGTTGTTGCATGTAAACTGTCCTTTGCGTCTACACTATCATGTTGACAAAGCAGCTTGCTTTGTCGACAGAACTGAATGTAGTCTAGACGCTCTGTCGACAGTATCTGTCGACAAAACTTCTGTCGACAAAAGCCTGTAGTCTAGACGTACCCTAAATGTACATGAAGTTTAATTTGAATTCTCGCTTAGAACTAACTTCCATGTTTTCTTGTCTGTCCTCCCACTTCAAGCTTGAGAAGCTCAAAAACATGGTTCCATTTGATCAGATGACATTTGAGGATTTGGGTGAAGTCTTCCCTGAAACCAAACTAGACAAAGAGAAGTATCCATATTGGCCACACAAACCTATTGAGGACCTGTGAATCTGAAAGCCATTTCTGGTGACTGTCAATTTCTGTAGACTCTTTTAAATAAAGTAAATGTACAGGGCATCCGCAGTGTGTCTTCTGATCTCAAAGCTAAGATAAAATCCAGTAGGGATTTGTTTTTTAACTAGGTGACAAATGTTGTGAAATTAGCAGGCCATTGGTTGTGGAGGCGCTGAATGCTTTACAGGGTGGGATAGTTCCTGAAAGAGGATGGGACTGAGTCTTCTTAGCAGGACGCTCAGGGTTAATGTCTGTAGAATATGCTCCATGTTCCTGACATTCAGGTTACACCCAAAGTTGTTCAGGTGACTGAGAGAACAGTTCAGCAATACAAATGACCAGCCCGGTTTAACTTTCAGCCCATGTCTATATTACAAGTGGAAGCGAATCTCCCTAGCCTATCCATGAGACACTCGTTGGATCTGGTTACAAACTTGATCAAACCTTACAAACCTACAGTTGCTTTTGTTCCCTACAGCCTCAGTGGCCACCTGTGCTTGTGCCTTGACACCTACTATGTTGCTGTGCAATTAGCTCAGGCTGCCTCAGCATGGGGTAGGAGAAGCCCTCCTGGTTGTAGAGGCAGGGATTGGGTGTGGGGGTTCCATCACAAAGCCAGACAAACAAGGGCAGGCTATGTGAAACCATCCAAGAACAGGTAGACACGCTGCTCTTATTCTACATTACAGGTTGTGTACATTTGAGAATGTAGGTAGCATGAATAGGCAAGCAGCCTCACCACACGCACCTCCTGTGAGGATTGTAAGATTCCATTAGGGAGGTTTCACTTTCAGCCAAAGCTGTGACTATCTTTGCTGTGTGAGTGGTCCAGGTCTCTCAGTAATCCTAGTAAGGCAGATGCTTTCAGTGGTCTGCAAAAATTAGCTACATGATATCGTTATGCAAGACAGCATGTCCTGTGACCACTAACTGCTTGGAGTTTTTGCTATGGTAAATGTACCTTTTTTTCCTCTGGAGCTGATTGTTCTTTACACTTATGGTGTGGGTTGCACTTCCAGAGTAGGAAACCCACCCTGGGCCTTTCTCTTCTTTGAGCTGATAGTGGTAACCTGGACTCCAAACACAGTTGGGGTACCTGTCTCATTTGATTACAATCAGCACTAATTCAGTCCATTCTGCTATTTCACATTTGCTTTGTCCCCACCCACCCCAGATCCCCATGTGTATTTTAGCTCTTTTGAGAGGGACAGCTAAGATGACTAATACCAGCTAAGATGAATTATAGCTGGAATACTAGGTCCATGAATGTAATTTATTCAGGTAACTCGTTTGCGGTTGGGATGCTCAAGGTGCACAAACTACTTTGCCAAGCACATGCAAGAACAAGGCTCGTAACCTGCAGAGCTTGCACCGTTATTTAGACATGCAGCAAATAGCTTAATTCAAGCATAAGAAGCAGGAAAACCTGGTTTGGAGGTTAAGGCAAGAAAGTATTAGAAATGGCAATTTGCCAAAATTTAACTGCTCCACTGTATAATAATGAAGATGATAAAGAGTAGTGATAAAAGCAAATGACTGCAGAAAAACACCTTTTCCAGAACCCGCAGCTCAGACTTGCACTCCTGTGGCTCTGCCTGCTTGCCAGTTCCCTGCCCATCTGCATTGAGTCTTCCCACAAGCATGGGTGGTCCGGTATTTCCCTTTCCAAATGGGTCTGAATCTCTGCTCTCCTGTTTCCTTGTGGTCAGCTCAGTCAGCGAGTCTCCTACAGAACAGGAACCAAATGTAAATATACATTAGGGGAAATGTAGCCAGACACAAACCCCATCTTGTTTTTCCACGAACCCCATCTTGTCTCCCCCCCCCCCCCCCCCCGCCCCCAGGCACAGGGACAGAC